AAAAATTGGGATCCTTGCTGAAAATTGCAGTGCAAAGTAGTGGGGTCGACTTTCACTATTGCAGTGATTGTTACTAAGTGAAATGCACTATAAATAATAACGCATGTGTTCTTTCGAAAAAAAATTATTTTGGAAGTCGTGGTTCGCACTACTCTGTGTATATACATATATCCGTTTAACCTATGTTCCTCAGAAAGTTTGAATCTCAAAGTTGGTCTCTGATTGTTGCCGTCACTCTTGTCTAAGTTGGAAAAGAAAAGATCTTATGATTTTAGTGAATCTGGTGTGCGATTTTTATTCCTTTTTCATAATTAGGCATGTTTGCATATGATTTCCTTTTTGAACGTGATCCAAGTGTTTGTGCAGGACGCATTCATGGATAAAATCTGATTTCCTTCCTAAATTTCAAAATAATGCGAGCCGTTATTGTTGTGGGAAGTTATGGTATGTTTGAATTTTGATTTATTGGAGGGATTAGTTTCACTAATTATTCTCTCTCTCCTAAAACCGCCCACATTACCATCTTGAATTTCGGAACTTACCTTTTGCGGTTTTTCATAATCCAACGTCTCTCAACTGAACACAACACACGTCTCTTCCCTACTTTTTCTTTCAATATATTTTCTTTTCTTTCTCTCACTTTCACTTTTCTCTCTCTCTCTCTCCTTTGCTCACCTACACCGATTGAAACCCTAAATTCCCCTCTCTCAATCCTCGTTCTTCTCCCATGGTTGGCGGCAAAGACAAAGCTAAGAGACGACTCCAGAAGCAGAAAGAGAAGCGACTTAAGCGCCGCCGACTTTCCTTGTCCACTGGATCTGCACGAGAACCTTCACCACCAGCGAAAGAACCGACCCCTGAATCTTCGCCTTCGTCAAAATCGGCTTCTCTCGCCTCTTCTTCGTCTGGCTCTCAGTCGAAATCTGACAATGTCCGCAAGAATCTTGAAGTCTCACCACTTGCAACTGGAGTTCCTGGACTTTCTGGACCGGCTGGACCGCTTGCCGTCCCAACTCAGGGGGAGTCATCTGCTGTTCCAACTTCTGCAACTAAGTCGGTCACCAAGACGACTACTACCGAAGGCGAAANGACTTTCTGGACGTGTTGACTCGCTAGCCGTCTCAACTCAGGGGGAGTCTTCTGCTGTTCCCACTTCTGCAACTAAGTCGGTCACCAAGACGACTACTACCGAAAGGGAAAAAGATGATATAGCGGCTACCACCGTTGAAGTCCATTCTGACCAGCCATCACCTCCTTCAAAGGTTCCAGTTCGTCGTTCCACCCGCCGACGTGGGAAGGCCATCGACGAGCCCCTTGTCCCTCCTGAACCCGAAGATGATGCATACGACCTGGAGAATACCTTCACCAATCGGTTCTATACAGAAGCGGCTCACGAACGCTTTGTTAATTTTGGGTCTTATGAATTCTGGTCGGAACATCCAGTGACTGATGGTAAGTTTGCTGAACTCGGTGTTCTTCGTCTGATTGAGCAAGTGGGTCTTTTGAAGACCGTGACTGATGTTAAGCCCTTTTGTGGCCAAGCTGTCAAAGAATTCTATGCTAACCTCACTCCTGCTGTTTTTGACCCTGCTAGCCCTCGGTTTCATAAACTTTTTCTTCGCAATCGTGTGATTGATGTGTCTCCTGCTTTGTTTAATGTCCATCTTGGTTTGCCCTCTGATCTTGATANATGACGATCAGTTAATTCGCAATTAGTATGTACGGGTGTTGTATTTATACGATAAATACTTACTTTAAAAATTTTAAATTCCGCTGCGAACAGCCCGTACTGTACTATCGAACCCAACACTCACTTCTGGTCAGTTAGATACTTGGCCTGGTTCAAACCTTTCTGTGAATTCTCTTTGCTTGATTGCCAATTAGTTGCATAAAATTGGTGCTGGCAACTGGACCCCCACTTCAAATAAAACCCTGCTTACAGAGCTGCAATGCAAAGTCATTTATTGGGTCATGATTGGGAAAGTTTTCAGCTTTGGGGATCTTGTCTTTCAAATTCTTCAGAACTTTGTTGCTAACAATGAGTCTCGTAAAACTCTTCCCTTTCCTTGCCTCATTTGGTCCTTCCTGTCGGCTCATAACTTTTCTGTTAACCTTCGCTTCCAAGACTCTCTTGAGAATCCCAGGAAAGCACTCTCTGTTAGTGCTCGCACTCTGAATGAGAAAGGAATTTCCAAGTCTACGAAGGAACTCGCTCCCTCCTTGGTCCCAAAGAACTGGGGTGAGTTTGTGGCTCAGCAACTTGGAGAATGGGATGCTTTGGCCAAGCGGGTTGCCGCTCAACAGGCGTATCTTCGGCAAGTGCTGCAGGCTGTCAAGGGATCGACTCGTACCTCGGGGATAGGCCCTTCGGCATCCCGTAGTTCGAAAAAGGGGGAGAAAAGCAAGAGCAATGAGAAAGATGATGAAGAGTCTGATGCCACTGAAAAGCTTGGAGATGAGGAGTAGTTAGCTTGGAGTAGTTTGTTTTTTTTGTTTCTTTGTGTGTTTTGAGGGTTGTAGGGAGACGTGTTATGTGGTTGGTTATTTGCTGTTATTGCTGTTGCTACTAAGTTTGTTTATGGGAATTAATGCAGTTGTTTTAGTGTTTTCACTGTCTATGGTTGAAATGAATCTTGAAGCATTCTGTTGAATTTTGATGACTGCAGGAACTAAGGGGGAGAACTGCTTTAAGGAGATCTTGTGATGTATTGAACTAATCCTTGCTTGAGTTTATCTGTGGTTGCTTGTTGTTTTTATTGCTGTAGGAGACTTTCAAGTCTGATGTTTTCGAACTAGATGCCAAAGGGGGAGATTGAAAGATATTTTATTTTGGCATTAGTTCGATAGTTCGAACAAGCACCTGGAACCACAGAATAAAAAGGGAAGATCTTTACATATTATATTTCCGTAAGTAATATTGTTTTATATTCCGTATGTAAGTCCATGTAGATCTTATTACGGTTTTTATATGATAGGTAATTGCACGTGGTGAGATAAAGAGGAGGGAGAAAAGAGACATGCTAGGAGAGGAGATCAATGAGAGAGAATAGAAGATTTCTTGCCATAGTTATCCTATTATCTTGGAAGGAAATCTTGAATGAAGACCTATGCCTTGTAGAAGACTCCAACCCTAAGGAGATCATATATATACCCTAGAAGAAGCTTATGGCGGCCGCGGATTTTGATACAGAGAAATATTTAGGAGCCATTCAAGCTTCACTTGCTTTCGGTTCTATTTTGATTGTATTCAGTTCAGTCTAAGAGTTCTTACAAACTCAAGGACTAGTGCTGCTTTCGTTTAGTTCTCTATACATTTCATCTAAACTATTTTACCGTTTGTACACTTAGGGAATAAGTGTAGGTGTTTAAGTCCACGGGACGTGGCCGGAGGATTAGTTGATAGGATCAAGTAGTGTTGGCTAGATTTGAAGGGAGTTCGAATCTTTGTAAGTCCAAACTATGTATACGAGTGATCTATCAATGAAAGAGCTCTGAGGGGAAGTGGGACGCTTCCCTGAAGAGTTTATTAATCTTCGGTTATTTGCTTCCGCATTTTACAATTCTTACTGTAGTTCGTACTAATACTCGCGCACTCCGTGACAAATATAAGTTTCAATAAGCATAGTGAATTACTCTTCTAATTACTAGCTAATTAATTAGTTTGAGATGAAACTCTCTGATGCACTTTGGCTCACCCTTTTATAATGCGCTTTATTCGTGTGGAACTTATTCTATAAATCTAATAAAAACCTATTGTGCACTAAAAAAAATTATTTGTACTAAAGTCTAATCATATTCATAGTGCGTTGTGTTTTTCCACCTGCAAAATATTAAAAATCCCATCCTTTATCAAGATACNAGTCACCAAAAATAGACTTCAAGCTTAAAAAGGTAAGTACAAACTAACAAAAGTTATGGTTCACAACTCTAAATCTAAAGCTTCACATGAGACTTTTTTATTATTATTTTTTGTCTCGACGGAGCTTACTTTTTTCTAAGCATATTAACATATATAGTAAGCAGTAACACCTAACAATTTTGTTTAACTTCTTTGCATGCCATATTATAGCTAGAACCATATAGCTTTTGCCTTAATCAGCCTCTTCTTCAAAGTCCCGTCGACATGTAGCGAAATCACGTCTCTTGCGGACCCCACAAACTCCCCACCGACAAAAACGGCCGGCACGGTTGGGTTGCAGCCGAGGGCCCGTAGGGCCCACTCCATTTCCCGGCCCGTTGGGTCGTGGTCGAGCTCGTGGACTGCCGGGCTAGCCCCCAACTCGTAGAACAAGGCCTTGATGCTATGGCACATGCAACATGTGCTTTTCGTGAAGATCACGACAGCTTTCTTGGACGACAAGTCACTTATTCGGTCCATCTATTGTATTATTTTTTTTTTGGGAGGAGAATTTGAAGTTTTGGGGACTTGAGGATTGTATTGTATATATCACTTGAAATATATATGTGGTTTTGTAGTGATTCTTGGGAAGATATCATGGTCAATTTATAGAGAGGGAAAAGTTGAAGGGTTTTCTAATTATTCGATTTTATGTTTGTTCATTTTGAAAAAGAAAAAAAGGGAAAAGTTTTATATGAGAATCAATACAAGATATTTGTTTGGATAAGAAAAAATATTTGTCACTTGGTGATTTGCAATTTTGCATATTGGAAAATTTGATACTTTGTGTTATGGCGTGATTGGTCATTGGTGTCTACATATTGGAAAAGTTTTATATGAGAATCAATACAAGTTTGACTTATGGCGTGATTGGTCATTGGTGTCTACATATCTGCATTACAACGAAATATAGTTAATTTATGGCAGGTCGAAAATATTTAAAAATGTTTAGTTAGTCCCATAATATATAGGTTGTATAAGAAATATATAAATTAGTCACATTTGATTTCAATTCATCAAGTTTTCTAGTTTTCAAAATCGGCAAATTTAAAGATAATTTTCTCGTCAAATTACCTAATTAATTCCAATCATAAATCAATATGTTATGCTATGTGCATGTATTTATACGAAAAAAAACTACCTCTTCTTCACAAAAATTCGAACGAAATATCATATCCGAGATATAAGCTAAATCTCATTATTTAATTAGATCATCATTAATTTCCTTAAGAAGCCATCCTAATCCGAGATTTCGTGATTAATCTTGGATCGATCACCTCAATTTATATTATCTAATTCTCCTTATGACCTATCGATCAAATCGACCCGTAAACCGGATGACACTCCGAATTGATTTTAAGTGGCTTCATCACTAATCTAGATAATATAAATAGAATATTTATTTGTTGGCATGCGAAATAATTAAGCCTGGGAACATATTCTAATGTGTCATGGTCCATGAGAGAAAGTATTTAAACAACTTCTGCTTATGAAAACTTATTTGAAAAATTCCACAAAATGAACTTTTCATAAAGATATATATCTCTGTATAAAATGTTGAAGAATCGGAACATATATTATTGCATGTGTGTCCACTAATACAGGTCTTTGGAGTATCATTTTCTGATAACAATATTATTCTAGCTTTTTTTTTTTCACTTATTATTTTATAAATGTCAACTTGATATCCAGAAATTAAAAGTGTTTTTTTTTTTTACAAAAAAAATATCTTGTAACAGATAATGCAGAATAAATTTAAGAACCAAATTGGCTCCCACTTAGTATATGTAAATGAGATGTATCAAGAATGTATGCTTATCCAATACATTCCCACTAGAATTAATCCAACTCCCGACAAGTGAAATCTTATAAATTCTTGCAAATTTAGTATAAACAAACATCATAATATATTTATATATCCTACGTGGTAACAATAACTATTTAAATTTACCAGGTAAAAAAGAAAAGCATAAAATATATAAAATTTTTAGTTTTGGTTACAATATCTATATTATACGAAGCTTCTTAGCATAAAATAACAGTGAGATGCCTAACTTTTGCAAATAAAGTGTATCGATTTTATAAATCTTTTTGGTTATTTTAGTTTCATTTTACTTCATTTGATCCAATTTCAGACTGAATTTGTGATGTCTTGGTGGGCTTGATTAGTGTGTTTTCAAACACACGGGCTTCGATTGGTAGCCCATTTAGCTTAATTGAGTAATCTGGTTATTTTTTATAATTTGTTTATGCAAAAAAGTGTGAATGATTTTGTACACTATATTATCCATTTGTGATTGAACAAATATTGGCGAAACTTTCATAAAGAGTTAATCATCATTCTCAATTGGTACAACTAATTTATGATATAACGAAAATAATTATTCCAAATTATTAGTCTTGCTATAGAACTGGTGCTTTTGAAACCTTAAATTGATAAATTTAATTTTCCAAATTCAAAATTGATTGTTGATAACTTTTTGAGGTTTTTTAAGTTTTGAATTAATAGGTTTTTTTATTAAATTTTGAACTAATAGTTGATAATTTTCCAAATTCAAAATTGATTGTTGATAATTTGTTGAGGTTCTGAATTAATAGGTTTCATCTTTTAAATTTTGGATCGATAGTTATAATTAATAGGTTTTATCTTTCGAGACGTAGCTACTTTTGAAGTTTAACTATCTCATTATTTTAGTAAAGAAAATGGAAAACTTGACGTAGTAATACAATCTTGATTTTGACTAGTCACTTCAAGCTTGTCTTTAATCGTCCACCTACGTAATGGAGATCAATTCGAAGTTTCCAACAATAATTAAATCTTTAATTGGAATTTATCCTCCACTAGTAATTATCTTTAGAGTTCAAAAAAATTTCTTCACGTCAATTGCCATTATCATAAAAAAATTGGTGTATTTCAATCTATCGGTTACAACAAACACGAGGTCACCGTCGGATTAATCTACATATCTCTGTACGAACATGTATGCGAATTGATCCGATGAAAAAATATCCGATAAGTATACTTTCATCACCGATAGAATAGAATGAATCTAATAATTTTATCGTGCATATATCTATCTATAAGCAATGATTTGCATCATGAGTGAGAAACAAGCTATTAATTTAAATTTTGTATCTCTTCTCATATTGTAACAAAGTTCTAATTTTGGTACATTTTTTATTTTCCCCAATCTCCATAAATTTAACAAAATAGAGATATTTTGGGTGTGACTTCTTTTATAGTTTAAATATCTACTTCAGATATTTACATATCCCACATCGCAAAATCAACGATATTTCTCTCCATATATAACCAAATCACCCAAATTGCTTCTTCTCGACTGCTCAATCAGCGAAAGCCATGTAACCCAAGCGGGGGCATTTACGCGTTCCGAAGAGGCCGGGCCCACTACCTTCGACACAAACCCTCGACCTTTTTGCGCCTTGACCCTCTTTGATTAATTGTTTTTTGATGTGTAAAACATAGTAAAATGAACATCTTCACCACATAACAATAAACTAGCTAAAACCAAGTGAAGGGTTAGAAAATTTTCATTTATACTATAACTACTCAATCCAATGTCATAAATGAAAATTTCGACACTATTAATCACGGTCGGAAAAATCCATTTTCAAAGGGGATCGACTTTCCTTGCTAGCAACCAAACACCTCGGTTTTGTCCACTTTTTGAGGCTCGAGTTGGGCAGCTTCAAGTACCGGGTAACCTCACCCGACTAGCAACCCACGACGCCAACTAGAAAATCAGCTACCCTTTTTCTTGGACACGTTTATGAAAGTCGGTCGGGTGCCCTTAAGAAACGAGACACCAATTGTCGGACTTTGTTCACCCTCACCTCATGGCCAATTGGGTCATTTCAACAAACAACTAGAGGACATACATGAAAATGAGCTTTGAAACGATGTTTTCAAACAATGTACATTAAATACCTGCACTAAATATCATATTTTTTTCGAACGATTATATGGGTCCACACGTCATATTTTCAAATAAAAACGCTTATTTATATTACTAAATATCATATTTTTCTTATGTTGGTATTTAAAGCGTGACCGATACGAAAAATATGAATATCTATTGAAAAATATCATAATATGATCAAAGTCGATGACACAAATACGTCTACCAAACTTTAATTGAAACGTGAAATTTCTATTTAAAATCATCCAATGCGGATTTTTAAATGGTCCACCGATTTCGATTTAAAAACAGAACCAACCACTATTCCAGTTTGGATCAAAATCTCAGCTCTTCCCCTTCATTGCTTTGATTTAAAGGCTCTTCGAATAATCGCCAACATCTTTGGCACTAATTAAAAGTCGATGATGCCACACTAAAAAAACTCGACTCCGATTTTCACGCTTTTGCGTAGCCCTCAATCTTGAATCTCCCCATCTCACTAGTATTGTCGTTTCTTGCGGAAACAAACGCGTCGAACTCATTGTTGAGTTTGAACACTTACCAAAATATTGTTCCTTTTGCTTTCATGTGGGACATGATGACTCAACATGTTACATAAAAAAATTCGACCATTCGTCCCGCCAAAATTAACAAGGGAAAAAAAATCTCCACATTGAACTCTTCCTTCATATTTCTTCCACTTCTTCTTCTCTTCCAATCCCCCCTCCCGCTAGCCCACCCAACCTCTCCTCCCTTGCCTCGAACCCAACTCCCTCGGACTCGGCACCTCCTCTTGGCGAGGCTCCACCCAACCCCTCCTTACTAGGCCCGATTCCTTCCCCAGTCCATAATCTTGGCCCCTCCACTTTCCCTAAAGCGGGACCAGACAATGTGTTTGACTCTTTGGAACCAGGTTCACCTAAGTCCAACTTAGTGATTGTTGAGTCTTGCTCTTGTAATTCTGAACCGGACTCCCCAAACCACTCTCTTCCCTTCTCCGAATTTGAAGTTGGCTTCACTATCGCCCAAACTTGCATAAAAAACCAATCATTGCTCTTCCCTCCCCCTCTGTCCCGCCCCATTGTCCCCAGGTTTACACCAAATCTTCCAGAAAAAAAATACCGGATTAGGAGCAACACGAGGAATAAGAAAAAATCAGACCATTTTCGAGATTCGCTGATGAAGTGGTAACTTTTGGCTGTTGTATTTATTTTCGGTTTTTTATTGAATTTATGTAGACCTATGACTTTTTTGGCCCATTTAGAGTCGTGACTATATACAGGTTGGGGATCCAACCTTAATCCTCTACTTTCACCAAGTGTTTTCTTTTTAAAAAACAAATCAATAATTTCTGTACTTACATATCATTTATATCAATTATTATGTCAAAATATTAGGACAGTTGGTATTATTCAACTTGAAAATCCTTGCCCACGTGTTATTTTCTTGTTTCTTTTTGGCATGTGAGCAAAGGTGGCCATATACTAGCAAGTTGAGATAATTTTTGACAGCACAAAAAATGTGTACACAAGTGACAAAAATAATTGAAATTAGGTTTCTTCAGTTTAAGTTCACATCTCACCATATTAAGTTATAGGTCCTGCGTATGTACTTAAAATTTAAATTGCGTGAAAAATACATATGGTACTTCTTTCAAATGTCACTATATTAAGTTATAGGTCCTGCGTATGTATTTAAAATTTAAAAATTGCGTGAAAAATACATATGGTACTTCTTTCAAATTGACAGTATTGTCACAGTAAAATGCTAAACAAATTATTGTAAAATTAACCATAATTTGGAGGTATTTACAGATATCTGACAACTTGTTAACCACTATAGTAACCTAATATGTAACGCCCCGTTATCTTTATAAGGAAAATATGAGTTTTCAAAAATCAGAGTTAATTTTTCAAATTCATTTTTCTTTTCGAAAACTATTTAACGGGCTATACTCAATTAAATCATTCAATCATCATATAGCTCAAGCCATATCTGAGCCTGTGGGAACTCCCTTCCCAATATCCATCATATACACACGAGATAAATATCATCATACTCATATCCTCGCAATTATACATAATCATAACATCATTTTCATATTCTCACAGTCATACATAATCATAACATCATATTCATTCAATAACAAGTGAGGTGAACACGTTTCATAATTCATTTTGTTTTCCAAAACAATGTTCAAGTTGACATCATAATCATAACATTATCCACAAACACGGAAGCATGTACAGTTCAATAGACAGGCAATAATAACCCCGCTCGCTCGTCTTTTGCCGCTGCCACCAACTCAACCTGAAATTGGGGGGAAAGGGGCATAGGAGTGAGCACACCACTTGCTCACTACTATGCACATAAATCAAATAATAACAGATAGTATGGTCGCAGCATGAACATGAATCAATCATAATAATAACTAACCTAAAATATACACGTATTACGATTATCTACAATGAAAATAATATAATTATAGGCATAAAGTAATCATTCTAAATCTGGCCAAAGCTAATATGGAAACTAATTTTTCTACCAAAAAATTAATGTAATGAAATATCAAAGATATTTGACTATTAAAATTGAAATGTTATGGAATGTGTAACAAACTTCTATATTCAACTTGCAATTATAGGCATAAAGTAATCATTCTAAATCCGGCCAAACGTAATATTGAAACTAATTTTTCTACCAAAAAAAAAATGTAATGAAATATCAAAGATCTTTGACTATTGAAATTGAAATGTTATGGAATGTGTAACAAATTTTCTATATTCAACTTGCAATTATAGGCATAAAGTAATCACTTTAAATCCGATCAAACCTAATATGGAAACTAATTTTTCTACCAAAAAATTAATGTAATGAAATATCAAAGATATTTGACAATTGAAATTGAAATGTTATGGAATGTGTAACAAACTTTCTATATTCAACTTGCAATCCGATTTTATCAACCTCACTAATGAGTCCAAACCCATGTTCACTACAAAATGACAATAATCATGCATATCAATCAAATAATCTTCCCAAAACAATAAACAAAGTTGCAATCCAATCACTAATCTCTTCATTTCAAATTATAATCATTTTGTGCAGATTACAAAAATAAAACTAATCTCCATAGCTATAAATAAACTCCACTACTGTTTCTCCATTCTCTAAATCAATATCATCAATAGTAACACAACAATGGCTAAAAGCTTGTTTTTCACTCTCATTCTTCTTTTCATGTCTATCATGAGACCAACACACTCTCGTTTTTGGACAAAAGGCTACACCATCTCTATATACAACAACATTCTCGACAAATCGGACAAGATATGGTTCCATTACGCGTCAAAGGACGACGATTTAGGTAATCACACTCTTATTGCGATAACTATTGAAAAACGACCATGTCTTTTTGTCGTTTTCATTGGGGTCCCAAGGAGAGGGCCTTTGAGGTTTTTAACTATAATTTGCGATAACTATTGGAAGACGAGATTACTTTGAATTCCGTTAAAAGTATGGAAAACATGACAATTAACATGCCAAAAATACGATTTCTGTGATCGAACGAGTATTTTCTTGGCATGTTAATTGTCATATCACAATGTCAATAGTGGACTCCACTTGACTCGTTTGTGTGGGCTCTTCTTTTCGTGCTGCCACACTTAGAGGAAGCTAAAAATGGTAGGTGAAGCTCGTGGTCATTAATCCGACGCCGTGTCTCTCAACTTCCCATTTCCCCACAACCATCAATGGTGGCCTTTAAATTCAAGTTCACATTTACACACACTCACTCACTCAGTCACTCTCAATTGCAGCGCGCACACAATCGGGAAGCCAACCGGCGGATTTATCGGCTACGACCATGTCTGCGTTACCGCCCGTAACCGAGGTCCGGGTCGAATCCATCGTGTTTCCGCCGGCGGTGAAGCCACCGGGCTCCGCCAAGACGCTCTTCCTGGGCGGCGCAGGTCAATTTGATTTTATGCTTTCCTTTGGTTTGTAATTATTGTACAATTTTGGAAATGGCGGTTTAATTCCTTTAGGTTATGTGATTTTCTGTGGCTGTGGCTGATGTGCGCAGGGGTGAGGGGAATGGAGATCGGAGGTGCGTTCGTCAAGTTCACCGCCATCGGAGTCTACCTGGAGGATAACGCCGTCCAGTCGCTTGCCGTTAAGTGGAAGGGCAAGAGCGCCAAGGAGTTAACGGAGTCCGTCGACTTCTTCACAGATATCTTCACTGGTAATAAAAAACTAAAAACACATCATCAATTGATCACATTTTAGGATTTTGTTTTTTTCTGAAATGATTAAATTAATGCTTTTAATGCTTCAAAAAATCAAATATCCCTGTTGGGATTTTTCCCGACAGTTTCTCTTTTCTGATTTATTTTGGAACATCATTCTCCAAGAATGGACTGTTGGGTACAGTAATTCTAAGGTGAAATTCGAGTGCCATCATTTCTTACCTTTGTATGCATATCATATGTGTGGATTTACTGCCAATTTTCATTGTTCTGAAGTATTTGAGCACGAAAACTCAATGAAATTCCAAGATAATACCCTCTTTTGTGGAGGGCATTTGCAATTTCTTTCCTCAATAATTCATTCCAAAATCTTGATCTTTATGGGTTGAAAAGTAGAACAAATACCTTTTTTTCTTCTTATCAACAGGTCCCTTTGAAAAATTCACCAGGGTGACTACAATACTGCCGTTGACCGGCCAGCAGTACTCGGAGAAGGTAGCTGAAAACTGTGTGGCTTACTTGAAATCAATTGGGAAATACACAGATGCAGAATCGAAAGCAATCGAAAAGTTTCTTGAAGTGTTTAAACATGAAAATTTCCCACCTGGGGCCTCTATCCTCTTCACTCAGTTGCCGGTCGGCTCGTTAACTGTAAGTTAGTTATATTTAAGTGGTTTTTTTCGCTCTTATTAATAAAGTTGATTCGGTTCGATTCTACTAACTGCAGATAAGTTTCTCGAAAGATGGTTCAATTCCCAAGCATGCAAATGCAGTGATACAAAACAAACAGCTGTCTGAAGCCGTGCTGGAGTCCATTATCGGGAAGAACGGCGTGTCACCTGCAGCAAAGCAGAGTTTGGCTCTGAGGTTATCTAAACTGTTGAATTAACTCAAACCTGAAGTGGCTGAATAAAAAGAAAGGAGATTTGATAAGCAGGAGTCAAGCTTAGCGGCATTTGCTTTTCTCCACTTCTCATGACTAATGAAGCTATACATAAGCTTTTCGTCTTTGATTATCATGTAATGTTGTCTTTTTTATTATTTTTCATTCTAATAATAAGGTTGTCGTGAAATCGTGAACTTGGTTTAACCTTTTACTGAAACATTTGATCAAAGGTGGATGAAAAATATTCAATTTCTTCGTGGGACATTGTGCATGCTTGCTAAGTATTAATACACTAATGATCGATGATGAATACACATGATTTCATAAAAACACCCCATCTTTGGAACCTTAAGAAGATTTGGATGCAATAATCATTCTACACATGATTTCATAATAACGCCCCATCTTTGGAACCTTAAGAAGATTTGGAAGCAATAATCAACAATAGTTGTTCAAATCGTGCTCCTTTCTCTCTCCTCCCCAAAAAATCTCCAATCTCGCCCAAAGAAAAAACCCTTGTCTCCTACCTTGCTTGCGCCTCCTCTTAGCTGGGCCGCCACCGGCGTCACTGGAACGCAGCTCCTCCTTCTAGGTGTCGCAGACCCCTCCCTAGCATAGAATTTCGCCGCTCTCACCGGTCATCTCCGACATGGTAAGGCTCCTTACTCCTTAGTGCCGAGTTGCGACGAGTTGCAGGATTTCGACTCCTGTCGGGGTCAAGATATGGCTCCCCTCTCCCTTTTGCTTCTCGCCATGATTTCTTTGGAGGTCGCGGGTGGTTGGTCGGTGCGATTGGTGGACTGACGGCGGTGGCCAGACGAAGGCGCCTGCCGCCCGATGGGTCTGCGAGCTTGTTGGCTGATTGGGGTGAGGGTGCCATCCTCCAAGGGCTGTAAACGAGCTGAGCCGAGCCGAGCTCGACTCGTTAAATAAACGAGCTTGAAATCGAGCTCGAGCTCAGCTTGTTTAACACCTATAACTAGCCGATCTCGAGCTTTAACGAGCCGAATGGCAGAAACTATATTAATATTCTCTTTTTGAGCCTTAATGAGCTCTACTCGACTCGTTAACCCAACGAGCTTTAACAGCTCGAGCTAGAGCCGAGCCGAGTCGAGCCATACTCTGGGAGAAGATTTGGGTTCTAGTGCAATTCTAGCTAGCCGTGGCTACACTGAAGTTTCTGGTTCGGTAGTCGGGCCGGAATCCTATTCGGGTGGGCGGCTATCTCTGAGAGTCGGGTCACGATTTGATGCGGCTTGTTTGTTGGATGAGAGGATGGTGGTAGTCTATATTATCTAGTGTTTTGTGTTGTGTTTGTGTTTTTATGTTATTAGTGTTTTTTATTTTGCTTTGTAGTTGTTATAGTCTCTTCTTCTAGGAATTGTTATTTTCCTCTATTGGAAGCTTTTTATTCCATTTGTTTCGTGTGTGTGCTAGAGTAGTTCTCTAAGCCTCGTTGATGTCGGGATTCCTCTATAGATTTAACTAGATACTATTTGGTTATTCTAGTTGTTGTCTAGTTGTAAATTTATAATTATCTGTTTTTATTTTATAAAATCTATTGTTTCTAAAAACAAAAAAAGATTTGGAAGCAAGTAAAAATCAATCAAAGGCTTCAAGTCAAATTAAACATGAAATATTTTTGTGCAAATTGTCCATGTATTAATGGACAAACCGAGATAATCCATGACAGGGAAGTGGGAACACTATTGATCCTCTTCCTTTAATTAAAAGAAGAAAAAAAAAAAGAAAAACTGAGACAATCAAGGCCATACACAAAAACTACAATACATCAAACTAGAACAAAATCTGCAGAAGATGGAACCATATGTCAATTCTGATCTGATTACAACTAGAGACACCATTTAAGTCATTGCACACTTTCAACCAAGCTCTAAAAAAGTTTCTCCCAAAAATCTCTACCTAAGACATGAGTTTCAAAAAAACCTTGGGTTCTCCATCCCGTTCTTTCCTAGACGCATACCTTTCACAAAGCTCCGGTGCCTCCTGAGCAAACCGGGACACATACCTTTCCATGAAATCTCTCTCCCTAAGGCCAAGCACAGTATTCAAGTTCCAATCTTTCTTCACCAAATCCTTCGAAGCCAAATCCCGAACAAACCTACATCTAGGAACTATCCTATTCTCCATACTGTAAGGGATAATACCCGGGTACCGAGCAACTGATCTCGCCTCCCGACCCAACTCACGAACCACAAACTCCAACACTGCATTAACCTTCTTCTCCGAACAAAGCAAGCAGTTTGGATGCCTCAAGAAAGCGGCCATAATTTCATCTCTCGACCAGCCCCATTTTACATAAACCTGATAGCACCTGTCCCAAAGGGCCAAACAGGACTTTGCTGATCGAGCATGCACAGCCAGCACAAATGCCTTCCTTTCCGGTTCAAAACCCATTCCCCTCACTTCCTGCACGATTTTCCTTAACTCGTTGTGTTCTAGAGAAAAAATCCCGCTGCACTGCTTTAACGCGAGCTCGAGGGATGAAGTGGTTACCCCAATCTCCCGGAGATAGTCCACGTTCGGGATGACCCTGTTGAGGTCGAACCTCGTAAAAGCCCGCGACCCGTGACGGAAAAGGGCCGCAGCCTTTTCGGGCCCGATTAGATTCTTGAGGTATTCAAAGTTGGGAGCTAGCTTGCACTCCAAGCTTGTGGCTAAGAAGCAGGGGTATTTCGAGATAGTGGCGAGCACGTCCTGTTTTGGAACGCCGGCGAATGACTGGAGGAAAAATTGGATCTTGGGCAGGACGTAGGTTTCAGGTTTTGTGACGAGAAATCTAGGGTAGGCCTTGACGATGTTGGAGATTTGGGGTTTTGTGAAACCCTCGTTTTGGAGAAGATTCATGAAGGCGTTGGGCTTGGCGGGTGAGTCGAAATGCACGCTCTTAGAAGCGGCAATGGCGTCCTCCATCAACAAACCGCATGATTTGACCAGGTAGGTGACGACGGTGTGTTTCTCCGGCGGACATCCGGCGGGTTTTGGATTTCTAAGGGTGCTGAAATTCGCGAGGTGTTGATTTGGGCGTGGGACTGACAGGATTGAGCGGAGTAGCGCCGGGAGATTGGGCGGCATGGTTGATTTTATGCGGCGAGGAGAGAGATTGGTAGATCTGTGTGTGATTGGGCGTATTTTGAAACCCTAGAATCCGCCGACAGAGAAAATGGGGATAAAGAGTTGCAGAAACTTGAGCTGAAGAGGGTTTTAGTTTGGGGGCCATAGAGAATTTTTCATTTTCTAATTTCGAAAATTTGTAGGGCTGTAATTTGAATTTTCACTTTTCAGCCGGAAGTATATTTATTTTCGTTTTTTGCTATCTGATGTTCCAACTTAATCAAATGATCCAAACATTTTAATAATTAATCACTTTTAATTCTAAACTGTTAAAAACAAATTGTTGCCATGGATAGTCGAGTGATCTGATTGAAAATGGTATATACTATTAAACTTTTCAAGAATATATTTTTTATAAAAATTCAACTGTAGTATTTTTGTATAGTTCGATCAAATTTTAAGAGCATTTTGAATGGAAACTTTAAAGTTTTTCTTTATGAATTTTGAGAAATTGCATGATGAAATTAATAACATCATTAGATAGGTTGAGTAGGGAGTGGTTTAAACCAAAAATGATTGATTTTGCAAATATCAATGACCAAAACTGATTAAATTGAAATCTGATGTACCAAAAGCGAAAAACTAACTATAGTTGAGGAACTACAAAGTGATTTTTTTCCCTTNAAGTGATTTCGTTTTTAAGTACTCCATCCGTTTAATATTAATAATACTTTGAAGCCAAAAAAAAAAAAATATTTCTAATTATTTATCATTTTAGAATATTCTTTAAATTTATAGTATAGTAATTCTACAAGAACAAAATAGATAATCAAATTATAAGAATATAGAAATACAGGGGCATGGCCCTTCTTTATTTTACGAGACTCAGCTCGACTCGGCTCGATTCCGACTAGAATCCACATAGGACTTGTTCTCATTCCAATTAGAATCCATAACAAAGGTACAGAGCAAAACAGAGAAGAAACCTGATCTCAAAAGATAATAACCCAAATAAGCACAAACATAATCTACACCAAGTTGCAAAAGCTAAAGCCTTTACTAAATTTCCCATGATACAAGTCGAGCCACGACTTTATCCAGCGCACAAATTGCTTTTCGCCATGTGGATGAACTTCACGTAAGAAAAGCAAAAATCACATGACGAAAAACAAGAATCAAGCATCAAGTGTTTCAGGGCATAAATGGAGAGTTCAGCAAACAAGCTTCCGGATACTAAATTGATCGTCTAGACCGATTTTCTAAGGTTCTAAGCCATCATAGTCTTCTTTCATGCCAAAGAGAATGAAGGATCCTCCCCTTCTTTGTCCAGAAACAGCTCATCCTCTTTCAGCAAAAAGGATAATGATAAAAAAAGTAATAAAAAATAAATTAAGCTTCATTATAAATTAAAAGAACCAATAAATTGCGGTTTTAACTGATAACTGTGATTTTTTGTTTTTAATTAACAGTTGATGTTGTAGTTCAACAGCTCAAGATAGCCAATAGTTGAAAATTGAGTGCATTTTGGTTAACTTTCAGAATTTTAGATGCCCTAGCAAATGAAGAAATTGCAAGTCCATTCCAGGATAGAATAACCTGAAAAATTGCAAAACGTCGGTTTTGATCATCAGATAGGGGCAGTGAAAAGTGAATCCACCAGACAAGTTCAGAAAATTTCCCAAATTAATAACAATATATAAACAAATACCTGACACTACCTTATCATCCAAATGTGGCTTAAGATTGTTCACAAATTTCTAGAAACTCCTCGACTGACAAACCCAATTTCGAGACCTTTAGAAAGTTGTTTGCTTTATGAGCACATTCTTCCCTTTGAACTCCTTGGGGGAAATCACTCATTCTTGATAACTCGCAATTACCCAATAGTTTAATGTAATAAATAATAATGCTCCATAAACAGATTTGCATGCTGTACCAGTATATCGTCAACACTTGAAAACGAGTAAAAAAAGAGAAATGCCTTAGGTCAAATAACACATGAAATGTATTTAGGACCTGGAACTGTACGTACAAAATTGTCCCTAAGATAGCATAGGGTTCTGAAAAGGTTGAACAAACTCAAACAAACCCTAAATAAAGATGCATCAAACAAGAACAAAATATATAGAAGGCAAAATAATTGTCAATCTTATCATATTACGACAAGAAGCCCAGTTTTTAGCTCAAAAACAACCTGAGCAAAAATTTCCTCCCCACAAATTAGTCGCTATGCTAATACATGAGTTTGACAAAACCCAAATTCTTTTCACCCAGCGCTTTCCTTGACGCAAAAGTTTCACAAAGATCCGGAGCCTTCCCAGCAAACCGCAACACATACTTCTTCATGAAATCTTCCTCCTTCATGACAAGCACAGCTCTCAAGTTCCAATCTTCCTTGACCAAACCCTTTGAAGCCAAGTCACGAACAAGCGTGCACCTTGGGACTATCCTCTTCTCCATACTGTAAAAGATAATAGTTGGGCACTTAGCCACCGACTTAGCCTCCCGACCCAATTCGTGAACCACAAATCCCAAGACAGCCGTGAGCTTCTTCTTCGAACAAAGCATGCAATTGGGATGCATCAAGAATGCAGCCCTTATATCCTCCTTCGACCATCCCCATTTTTGATAAACACAATAGGATTGGTCCCACAAGGCCAAACAGGCCCTAACCGAACGAGCGTGAATTGCCAGCACAAACATCGATTTTGATGGGTTGAAACCCATTTCCCTCACTTCCTGCACGAGTTCCCTGAACTTAGACTGTTCGTGACAGAGAACCCCTGGGCGCTGACGAAATGCCCGCTCGAGGAACAAAGTGGGCACCCCGATCTCCCGCAGGTGGTCCACGTTAGGGATGAACCTGTTCTGGAGATCGATCCTGGTAAAAAGAGTCGATCCGTGGCTGAAGAGAGCTGCGGCTTTTTCAGGGCCGAGTAGATTTGTGATCATATCCATGTTAGGAGCGAGTTTGCGCTCCAAACTGTTGGTCAGGAAATAAGGGTATTTCGAGAATGTGGCGAGCACGTCCTTCTTTGAAACACCGGCCAGCGAGTTCTGGAAAAATTGGATTTTGGGAAGGATTGAATTTTCCGGCTTCGACAGAAGCAACCTGGGTTTTGCCCTCACGATGCTGGAGATTTGGGTTTTTGTGAAACCCTCATTTTTAAGAAGATCTAGAAAGGCGTTAGGCCTGACGGGTGTGTCGAAATGCACTAACTTCGAAGTAGCAATTGATTCCTCCGGAGACAACCCGCATGAGTCGACCAGGAAGGAGACGACGACGCTTTTTTCCGGCGAATATCCGGCGGGTGTTGTGTTTCCAAGGGTGCTGAAATTCGCGAGGTGTTGATTTGGGCGTGGGCGTGGGCGTGGGCGTGATAGAATTGAACGAAGTAGCGCCGGAAGATTGAGCGACATGGTTGATTTACGAGGAGAGAGATCAGTAGTTCTATGTGATTAGAGTGAATTTGAAACCCTAGAATCCACCGATCGGACAAAATGGGGGAGAAACTTAGAGCTGATTCCTAATTTCTAAAATTTGGAGGGGCGTAATTTGAATTTTCACATTTTAACGCTAGTGTTTTTTTTCCTTTCATGGAATCCTTCCCTCAGCCATCAAATTGCGAATTGCTGGAATCCCTCCTCCGAGAGAAAGTGCAGGTGCGGACAGACTCACATGGGCCTCGAATCAAGATGGTCAATTCACTACGCGAACAGCATACGCGGCTTTAGCCCAATCGACGAGAGGCCCGGATCGTCCGTTGTGGAAATTAATCTCCAGTGCCGCAGCGAGTTTGAACTTTCCTGAGCCCACGACCGCTTACTGACCAATAGCAAAAGGGCCCGGAGGCATCTCACTGCCTCGTCGGAATGCGAGCTTTGCGGTGGGAATCAACTCTACATGATTGTCCGATCACCAAAAGTATGTGGAGTCGCCTTCTCCCACCCAGCATGGCGAGCAGCTTCTTCCAACAGCAACTTCGGCCATGGCTGAGGAATAATTTAGGAAGGGCGCCGCTGAAACAAGATAAGAACTGGAGCAGTAAATTTGCGTTTGGCGCTTGGAATTCTTAGAAGTGGCGGAATGAACGTATATTTGCTAACCGATCACTAGGCTGTGAGGCTCGATATTTGGAAGTCCTTCGTAATTCGGATTTATACGAGAAGTAGGCTACAGCCTACGCGAAAGCGGAAGCGGCTATACACTCTCTACGTATGATCCAGTGGATCCCGCCGGAAATGAGTTGGGTAAAAGTGAACACAGACGGGTCCTTTAATCGCACCACGGGCGATTAATTCGTAATGAGCTTGGGAAATGGATAGAGGGTTTCTTCATGAATATTGGGTTTTGCACCACCACCGGGGCCGAACTTTGGGGATTGTTCCATGGGAGTTGGGGTTTCAAAAGGTTGTTGCGGAAGTCGACAGTCAAAGCGTGTCGGAAATGATCCTTGGGCCAGAAATTGATTTTAGCACCCACGAGACCATATGGCCAAACTAGCGGCCTCTTCCACGATAGGCTAGGATCACGTCTCCTCCTCCAGGGCTGGATGCATGGATTGACCATGATGTCCGTGGGGTGGCTTACCCACGACGCGTTCTAGCACAGTAGTCTCGGACCTCTGCCTCCATCTTTGTACNGAAGAAAAGGAAGAATTTGTGCATGAGACCTTCATGTATGATGTGTGGAATTATTAGATTAGACCTCCTTTTTATGTCTTAATCCTCAAACTACCAACAATGTATTTTTTTCAATTAACAAAAAGGGGTTTGGTTCTGAAAACCGGTCATCGAACCGTTCAGTCTACTAGTTCAATAGTTCTTTGATCCAAACCAGTGGTTGAAAAAGTTGAACCAATATTTAATTTATTAATATTTTTAAACATATATAACACAAATTATATATAAAAAATTTGTTAGTCAATTTAAAACATTCAAATACATAAAATAGCAAATAAAAATTTATATATATACATTATATTTAAATATATATTTTAATTTAAATTAAAGTATATATTTAAATATATAAAACTTAATAAGAAAAACCGATTCAGACCAATTTTGACAAGTTCCTACCATTCATTGACCGATTTTTAGCCGGTTCGCCAACAACCAGTTCATTTCAACGAACCAAGTCGGTCAACTAACTGATTATGAAGACAATGGATAAATCATGATTAATGATATTTATATATTTACTTTAATTGAAAAGTTGGAGCGTGAAGTGCAAATAGATGCATTGTTTGGGGGAATTCATAAAACTATATCCAATTCGAATAATTTTTCAATTCGAATAATTCATGGCTAGCTTTGTTCGAACTAAAAAAATGAAGTATCATCATGCTCTATTTAGAAAACCCCCAAAATAAATCTTTCCTCTTGGTTATTCGTGAAGTCATAACAAAAACAAGTGCTAGTGGGATGATTTGTCCATATATGTGCATTAATATTATTTTCACTACCTTGTTCACTTAAACACAACTACAAGTTCAGTAGAACAGGTGAGTAAACAAGCCGATCCGAGCAGTCTGCTTGAGCTCGAGCCCTTAACGAGCTAATAATTGAGCCCGACTCGTTTATCGATATTAACGAGTTGAGCCGAGCAATCTGCTCGAGCTCGAGCCCTTAACGAGCTAATAATTGAGCCCGACTCGTTTATCGATATTAACGAGTTGAGCCGAGCAGTCTGCTCGAGCTCGAGCCCTTAACGAGCTTATAATAGAACCCGACTCGTTTATCAATATTAACGAGCCGAGTTCGCCTTAATGAGCCAAAATTGAGTCGGACTATAGAAAAATACATACAACCCATATTTTCGACCCTTAACAAGCTTATCGAGCCGAGCACGTAACTGAACCAGATTTAAATGAGCTCGAGCTCGGCTTGTTTATCAAACGAATCGAGCCGAGCACACGAGCGACTCATTTAATTTAACAACTCTACAATGGAATAACCGAGATTCATAGAAACCTTTCTTCTCATCCTCATTCTATGAGAACTCCTCAATTGAGCAATTGACAACTCTAACATCCTTCAATTGTGCGATCTATCAGATCGACTTGACCTTAGTGGATCACAATGGCACTAATCGAGGCAATCTGTTTAGTTGTACCTCACTTATCAACACAATCTCACAATCCCACATTTTTGCTGCAACCTCATGTTCTTCTATCAATAAATAAAGGCAATGTAGAAAAGAAAAGAGAAGAAAAATGGCTATTAGAATCCATAACAAAGGTACGAGTAAAACAGAGAAACCTGATCTCAAAAGATAATAGCCCAATCCACACAAGCATCATCTACTTTCAGTTTAGCAAAGCTAAACCAACATCTCTCTTACGAAATTCTCCATGAAATGTATGCAGCTATATATATCGCGATGCCAAACTATTAAATAAATGAGTAATGCTAAAGGTACATAATCATAATCATGTACATAGAGGTATACATAACAATCACATTGAGTTGGTCCAACAAAAAATAAAAAATTAAGTGGACCCCACTCCATGTGAGTGTTGTGTACACCTCTATGTACATTTATTATGTACTTGTAGCATTTTTCTAAATTAATATGTGCTGCCACAAATGACATAATATTGAGAGTGTGGAGACCAAAGAGAACCTGAATTTGCAAGTCCATCCCAGGATAAATAACCTGAATAATTGCAAAATGTTGGCTTTGATCATCAGATAGGCAGAGAAAAGTGAATCAGTCAATCAAATTCAGAATTGTCCCCAATTGTTTACTATAAAATAATAAATAATAAAAAAAAAAATCCTGACAACTACCTTATCGTCCAAATGTCGCCTCGGATGTTTTGATCTCACATCAAAAAGCTTCTCTTCATAAATTTCCAGATACTCCTTGAGACCTTTTTGAAATTCTGATTAATATAATGCTCCATAAACAGATTTGCATGCTCTCCACATATGTCATCAGCACTTGAAAACGAGTAACAAGACAAAGGCCTCAGGTCAAATGACAATGAAATGTATTTAGGACCCCAAACTGTAAGATAGATGGTAGGGCTCCGAAAAGGTCGAATAAATGCTCAAACTAACCCTCAATAAAGATACATCACAAACAAGAGCAAAACTTACAGAAGATGAAACAATTGTAAAAATCTTATCAGATTACAACTAGAGAAGCCCGTTTTTGCTCAAAATCATTTCACCTCAAACAACCCTCAGCAAAATTCCTCCCAACAATCACTCACTATGCTAAAACATGATTTTGACAAAACCCACATTCTTTCCAGCCCGTGCTTTCCTTGACGCGTAAGATTCACAAAGCTCTGGTGCCTCACCGGCAAACCGCAACACATACTTCTCCATGAAATCTTCCTCCTTGATACAAATCACAGTACTGAAGCTCCAATCTTCCTTGACCAAACCCTTTGAAGCCAAGTCACGAACAAGCGTGCACCTTGGGACTATCCTCTCCTCCATACTGTAAAAGATAATAATTGGGGACTTAGCCACCGACTTAGCCTCCCGGCCAATTCATGAGCCACAAATTCCAAGACAGCCGTAAGCTTCTTCTTCGAACAAAGCATGCAATTGGGATGCTTCAAGAATGCAGTCCTTATATCCTCCTTCGACCATCCCCATTTTTGATAAACACGATAGGATTGGTCCCACAGGGCCAAACAGGACCTAACCGAACGAGCATGAATTGCCAGCACAAACACCGATTTTGACGGGTCGAAACCCATTCCCCTCACTTCCTGCACGAGTTCCCTGAACTTAGACAGTTCGTGACAGAAAATCCCTGGGCACTGAAGAAATGCCCGCTCGAGGAACAAAGTGGGCACCCCGATCTCCCGCAGGTGGTCTACGTTAGAGATGAACCTGTTCTGGATATCGATCTTGGTAAAAAGAGTCGATCCGTGCCTGAAGAGAGTTGCGGCTTTTTCCGGGCCGAGTAAATTTGTGATCATATCCATGTTAGGAGCGAGCTTGCGCTCCAAACTGTTGGTCAGGAAATAAGGGTATTTCGAGAATGTGGCGAGCACGTCCTTCTTTGAAACACCGGCCAGCGAGCTCTGGAAAAACTGGATTTTGGGAAGGATTGAATTTTCCGGCTTCGACAGAAGCAACCTGGGTTTTGCCCTCACGATGCTGGAGATTTGGGGTTTTGTGAAACCCTCATTTTTGAGAAGATCTAGAAAGGCGTTAGGCTTGACGGGTGTGTCGAAATGCACGAGCTTCGAAGCAGCAATGGATTCCTCCGGCGACAACCCGCATGAGTCGACCAGGAAGGAGACGACGACGCTTTTTTCCGGCGAATATCCGGCGGGTGTTGTGTTTCCAAGGGTGCTGAAATTCGCGAGGTGTTTATTTGGGCGTGGGCGTGGGCGTGATAGAATTGAACGGAATAGCGCAGGAAGATTGAGCGGCATGGTTGAATTACGAGGAGAGAGATTAGTAGTTCTCTGTGATTAGAGTGAATTTGAAACCCTAGAATCCACCAATCGGACAAAATGGGGGAGAAACTTAGAGCTGATTCCTAATTTCGAAAATTTGGAGGGGCGTAATTTGAATTTTCACATTTTAACGTTATTGTTTTTTTTATTTTTTTTATCTTTTCGCAACTACAAAAGACCAAAAAGAAGAAAAGGAAGAATTTGTGCATCAGACCATGTGTGGTGTGGAATTATTAGATTAGACCTCCTTTTATGTCTTATTCCTCAAACTACCAACAATGTGTTTTTTTCTCAATAGAAAAAAGGGGTTTGGATATGAAAACAGATCATCGAATCCTTCAATCTATGTTCAATAGTTCTTTGATCCAATTAGTGATTGAATAGGTTTAACTAAATATGACCAATATTTAATTTATTAATATTTTTAAACATATATAATACAAATTATATATATAAAATTTTGTTACTCAATTTAAAACATTCAAGTACATAAAATAACAATTAAAAACCTATATATATCTTTTATATTTAAATATATATTTTAATTTAAATTAAAAATATTTTAAATATATTAAAATATACATAAAAAAACCAATTCAGACCAATTTTGACAAGTTCTACCATTCATTGACCAATTTTTTGCCGGTTCGCCAACAACCAGTTCATTTCAACGAACCAAGTTGGTCAACTAACTAATTATGAAAATAATGGATAAATTATGATTAATGTTATTTATATATTTATTTTGATTAAAAAGTTGGAGCGTGAAATGCAAACAGACGCATTGTTTGGGGGAATTCATAAAACTATATTCAATTCAAATAATTCATGGCTAGCTTTAGTCAAACTAAAAAAATGAAATCATGCTCTATTTAGAAAACCTCCACAATAAATATTTCCTCTTCGTTATTCGTGAAGTCATAACAAAAACAAATGGTAGTGGGATGATTTGTCCATATATGTGTAAATCCAAATCGGGCTGATCTTTACCCAAAATAGAGCATTAATATTATTATTTCCACCACCTTGTTCACTTAAACACAACTAAAAGTTCAGTAGAATATGTGAGTAAACAAGCCTAGCCGAGCAGTCTGCTTGAGCTCGAGCTCTTAACGAGCTAATAATTGAGTCCAACTCGTTTATCGATGTTAACGAGCCAAGTCGAGCAGTCTGCTCGAGCTCGAGCCTTTAATGAGCTTATAATTGAACCCAACTCGTTTATCAATATTAACGAGCTGAGCTCGAACCTTAAAGAGCCAAAATCGAGTCGGACTATAGAAAAATACATAAAAATCATATTTTCGACCCTTAACAAGTCTTATCGAGCCGAGCACGTAACTGAACCTGATTTAAATGAGCTAGAGCACGGCTTGTTTATCAAACGAGTCGAGTCGAGCTCACGAGCGACTCGTTTAATTTAACAACTATACAATGGAATAACCGAGATTCATAGAAACCTTTCTTCTCATCCTCATTCTATGAGAACTCCTCAATTGAGCAATTGACAACTGCAACATCCTTCAATTGTGCGATCTATCATATCGACTTGACCTTAGTGGATCACAATGGCGCTAATCGAGGCAATCTGTTTAGTTATATCTCACTTATCAACTCAATCTCACAATCCCACATTTTGGCTGCAACCTCATGTTCTTCTATCAATAAATAAAGGCAATGTAGAAAAGAAAAGAGAAGAAACATGGCTATTAGAATCCATAACAAAGGTACGAGTAAAACAGAGAAACCTGATCTCAAAAGATAATCACCCAATCCACACAAACATCATCTACTCTCAGTTAAGCAAAGCTAAACCAACATCTCTCTTATGAAATTCTCCATGAAATGTATACAGCTATATATATCGCCATGCCAAACATTAAATTAATACGTACTGCCACAAATGACATAATATTGATAGTGTGGAGACCAAAGAGAACCTGAATTTGCAAGTCCATCCCAGGATACATAACCTGAATAATTGCAAAAGTTGGTTTTGATCATCAGATAGGCAGAGAAAAGTGAATCAGTAAATCAAATTCAGAATTGTCCCCAATTGTTTACTATAAAATAAACATAAAAAAAAAATCCAGACAACTACCTTATCGTCCAAATGTCGCCTAGGATGTTTTGATCTCCATCAAAAAGCTTCTGTTCATAAATTTCCAGATACTCCTTGAGACCTTCTGAAATTTGTTCCCTCTATGAGCACATTCTTACCTTCGATAAATCACAATCACCCGATGGTTTAACATAATGCTCCATAAACAGATTTGCATGCTCTCCACATATGTCATCAGCACTTGAAAACGAGTAACAAGACAAAGGCCTCAGGTCAAATGACAATGAAATGTATTTAGGACCCCAAACTGTAAGATAGATGGTAGGGCTCCGAAAAGGTCGAATAAATGCTCAAACTAACCCTCAAGAAAGATACATCACAAACAAGAGCAAAACTTATAGAAGATGAAACAATTGTAAAAATATTATCAGATTACAACTAGAGAAGCCCGTTTTTGCTCAAAATCATTTCACCTCAAACAACCCTCAGCAAAATTCCTGCCAACAATCACTCACTATGCTAAAACATGATTTTGACAAAACCCACATTCTTTCCAGCCCATGCTTTCCTTGACGCATAAGTTTCACAAAGCTCTGGTGCCTCATCGGCAAACCGCAACACATACTTCTTCATGAAATCTTCCTCCTTCATGACAAGCACAGCTCTCAAGTTCCAATCTTCCTTGACCAAACCCTTTGAAGCCAAGTCACGAACAAACGTGCACCTTGGGACTATCCTCATCTCCATACTTAAGAAGATAATAGCTGGGAACCTAGCCACCAACCTAGCATCCCGGCCCAACTCACGAACAACAAATTCCAATACAGCCGTGATCTTCTTCTCCGAACAAAGCATGCAACTGGGATGTTTCAAGAATGCAGCCATTATGTCTTCCCTCGACCATCCCCATTTTTGATAAACTTCGTAGCTCCGGTCCCAAAGAAGCAAACAGGACTTCCCCGAACGAGCATGCATGGCCAGTAAAAACACCCATTTTGACGGGTCGAAACCCATTTCCCTCACTTCCTGCACGAGTTCCATAAACTTAGACTGTTCCTGAAAAAAAACCCCTGGGCACTGACGAAATGCCTTCTCGAGGCACCACGTGGGCACCCCAATCTCCCGCAGGTGGTCCACATTAGGGATGAACCTGTTCTGGAGATCGATCCTGGTAAAAAGAGTAGATCCGTGGCTGAAGAGAGCTGCGGCTTTTTCCGGGCCGAGTAGATTTGTGATCATATCAAAGTTAGGAGCGAGCTTGCGCTGCAAACTGTTGACCAAGAGATAAGGGTATTTCGATAATGTGGCGAGCACGTCCTTCTTTGAAACACCGGCCAGCGAGCTCTGGAAAAATTGGATTTTGGGAAGGATTGACTTTTCCGGCTTCGACAGAAGCAACCTGGGTTTCGCCCTCACGATGCTGGAGATTTGGATTTTTGTGAAACCCTCATTTTTTAGAAGATCTAGAAAGGCGTTAGGCTTGACGGGTGTGTCGAAATGTACGAACTTCGAAGCAGCAATGGATTCCTCCGGCGACAACCCGCATGAGTCGACCAGGAAAGAGACTACAACGCTTTTTTCCGGCGAATATCCGGCGGGTGTTGTGTTTCCAATGGTGCTGAAATTCGCGAGGTGTTGATATGGGCGTGGGCGTGATAGAATTGAACGGAGTAGCGCAGGAAGATTAAGCGGCATGGTTTACGAGGAGAGAGATTAGTAGTTCTCTGTGATTAGAGTGAATTTGAAACCCTAGAATCCACCGATCGGACAAAATGGGGGAGAAACTTAGAGCTGATTCCTAATTTCGAAAATTTGGAGGGGCGTAATTTGAATTTTCACATTTTAACGCTATTGTATTTTTTTTTTATTTTTTTTTTTGGGCAACTATAAAAAACCAAAGAGAAGAAAGGAATAATTTGTGCATCAGACCTTCATGTGTGATTATGTGATGTGTGGAATTATAAATTATTAGATTTGACCTCCTTTTTATGTCTTATTCCTCAAACTACCAATAATGTTTTTTTTTTTCAACAGAAAAAAGAAGTTTGGTTTTGAAAATACGTTATCGAATCGTTCAATCTACTGGTTCAATCAAGGTTGTTAAAACTGGATCGGTCATCGAACCGGTCTAGCTACTGGTTCACTGGTTCGATTAGTGGTTGAGCCGGTTAGATCGTTATTTAATTTATTGATATTTTTAAATATATATATTTTAAGTTATTTAATTTATTGATATTTTAAATATTTAATACTTTATAAATATTAAATATAGTTGACTTATTTTTTAAAAGGTTGGTCCCACCATATATAGATTAAACATTAAAATGGATAGTACAAAAATATGGAAAAAAGAAAAGAAAGAAATATTTCCTCACACTCTCACATTTGGTAATAAAATAATAAGAAATAAAGATAGGATATGAGAAAAGTAATTCCTTCCACACGCAGATAAAAGGGAAAAGAAATTCCTTCCATGTGTGGCTTTAAGTTTAGAATTCTTACATCTTGTTCCACATCGGTAACCATAAAGGTTAGTTGCTTTATAAAAGTGTTAGAATTTATACATAAAAATTATTTGATCAGATTGGCAAAAAAAAAAATGACCGCTTGAACCAACCAGTTTTTGGCCGGTTCGACAGGTTCAACCGGTCATTGACCGGTTTTGGCCACAACCGGTTTCTTCCATTGAACCGGACCGGTGAACTGGCCGGTTCCTGGTTCAACCGATCGGACCGGCCGGTGACAACTATGGGTTCAATACTTCTTTTTTTTTATCGTAAACTTGGGTTTGGGTTAAACTTTTTATACTGACCCGTCCCACCGCAAGCAGTGCACCTCAAGAAAACCCCCTGCGGCCTCTAGCAAATGGGATTTTTTGGATAAGGTACCATGTATCCTCCCAGGGGACTCGAACTCCCGACCTCGTGGGTAAGAGTTGGTCCTGCTGACAGTTGCGCTGGCCTGGGTGAATTCAATAGTTCTTTGATCCAATTAGTGGTTGAGCAGGTTGAACTAAATATAACCAATATTTAATTTATTAATATTTTTAAACATATATAATACAAATTATATATAAAAAAAAAATTGTTAGTCAATTTAAATCATTCAAGTACATAAAATAACAAATAAAAACCAATATATATCCATTATATTTAAATATATATTTTAATTTAAATTAAAAATATTTTAAATATATTAAAATAAAAAAAAAACCGATTCAGACCAATTTTGACAAAGTTCTATCATTCATTGACCGATTTTTTGTCGGTTCGCCAACAACCAGTTCATTTCAACAAACCAAGTCGGTCAACTAACTAATTATGAAAATAATGGATAAATTATGATTATTGTTATTTATATATTTACTTTGATTAAAAAGTTGAAGCGTGAAGTATAGACGCATTGTTTGGGGAAATTCAAAAAACTATATTCAATTCGAATAATTCATGGCTAGCTTTGGTTGAACTAAAAAAATGAAGTATCATGCTCTATTTAGAAAACCCCCAAAATAAATCTTTCCTCTTGGTTATTCGTGAAGTCATAACAAAAAAAAAATGGTAGTGCGATGATTTGTCCATATATGTGTAAATCCCAGTGTTTTAAAACGCGCATCGCGTCGCGTTTTGGTCCTTATATTGCGTAGCGTAAATAGCATAGCGCATTGTGTAAGTTATTCGAGCAGTTCACTTTTACTGCAAAAAATAATAATATATATAACCAAACTCACTGTTGATGTCGAGAATCGGACGATCAACTGTTGAATATAAATCGAATTATTGTATGAAAATGAAGAACAAAATAGATTGAAACATGTGTTTATTTCTTATATTTTTTGGAGAGTATCTTTCTCTCTTTTGATTGTAGGAGGAAGAAGAATGAGGAGAGAACCCCCTCCCTCCTCTCTTTTTGACATATATATACATGGGCCCATCTTGCAAGTGGGCTAGTCAAATAAATAACAAATGGTTCATCATTATTTAATGTGAGATGGTTATCGTGGGGCCCGCTCATGACTCTTGACGGCTCCAATTGACGTCCGTCTTCTCGGCAATTATCGCGTTCACTGAAGACGTCTTCTGCGTGGTATGTGGGTCGTCCGATTATTTTCAACTCAATCCGGCTCGCAGTGGGCGGACTCGACATTGAGGGATCCGTTCGGCTTTTGAGCGACCTGTCTTGATAATCTGCTTGTATATTTATTTATCATGTATTCTCGGCTCCTCGGTTATCGGGCCACATTTTTTATTATTTTATTTATTATTTAATTAATTGGAGCCAAATTGGGTATCAACACTCACCTAAAGTCCTCCACTCAAATATCTAAAGTTGGGAAAATTAATCTAGATCAATTTGGTTCACTTTATCTTAAATAAAATAATTTATATAGCTTAAATAAATAAATTAAACCCACATCTCCCTAAATTATTTAAAAAAAAAATGGTCACTATCCTACCCACTCACACCACACAACGACACATATACACACATTTTCCTTATCCACTTTTTTTTATTCTTTCTCTCCTTTCCTCTTTCCTTATTCTTTCCTCTTTCTTCTTCCTTTTTATCTCTTCTTCCTTTTTTCTCTTCACGCAGACAACTACTTTTTTTTTCCTTCTTTCTCTTAAATTTTCTTCTTCTTATTTTCTTTCTTCTTCTTTTTATTTCTTTCATTCCCATACAGCAATTTTTTTCTTTCCCTTAAATTTTCTTCTATTCAAAGTTTCAAACTCACAAACACAAATTTCTCAATACTCACCAATTAAATCAATTAGCCCCAAAATTAAATAATGAAAAACACAATTGAACTGCCAATTTCAATTGGTCACGACCGGCGGACTGGCGACTTGGGTGTGTCGCACTGGACAAGGTTTTTTCTTTTTTGCGACTGTAAGAACTGGGGACGCTGCTTCGCTTTTAGCCTTTTACATTTGTTTTTTCATTTTTTTTTTATTTTCTACTTATAAAATCAACGTCCACAATAGAGTCCGTCATTTACGCTATTGCGTAAAATAGCGCAAATAGCGTAAATTTTCGCGAAAAAAGCGTGCCACGTCATAAATAGCGCACGCTATTCCGGAACTGCGCAAAATTAAGTGCGCTACGGCGCATTTTTGCTGAAAGTTGCGCTATAGCGCGCTAGAAAACACTGGTAAATCCAAATCGGGCCGATCTTTACCCAGAATAGAGCATTAATATTATTTCCACCACCTTGTTCACTTAAACACAACTAAAAGTTCAGTAGAATATGTGAGTAAACAAGCCTAGCCGAGCAGTCTACTTGAGCTCGAGCTCTTAACGAGCTAATAATTGAGTCCAACTCGTTTATCGATGTTAACGAGCCTAGTCGAGCAGTCTGCTCGAGCTCGAGCCTTTAATGAGCTTATAATTGAACCCAACTTGTTTATCAATATTAACGAGCTGAGCTCGAACCTTAAAGAGCCCAAATCGAGTCGGACTATAGAAAAATACATAAAAATCATATTTTCGACCCTTAACAAGTCTTATCGAGCCGAGCACGTAACTGAACCTGATTTAAATGAGCTAGAGCTCAGCTTGTTTATCAAACGAGTCGAGTCGAGCTCACGAGCGACTCGTTTAATTTAACAACTATACAATGGAATAACCGAGATTCATAGAAACCTTTCTTCTCATCCTCATTCTATGAGAACTCCTCAATTGAGCAATTGACAACTGCAACATCCTTCAATTGTGCGATCTATCATATCGACTTGACCTTAGTGGATCACAATATATCTCACTTATCAACACAATCTCACAATCCCACATTTTTGCTGCAACCTCATGTTCTTCTATCAATAAATAAAGGCAATATAGAAAGAAAAGAGAAGAAAAATGGCTATTAGAATCCCTAACAAAGGTACGAGTAAAACAGAGAAACCTGATCTCAAAAGATAATCACCCAATCCACACAAACATCATCTACTCTCAGTTAAGCAAAGCTAAACCAACATCTCTCTTCCCCAAACTGCACATATGAAACGGAACTGCACATATGAAACTTTCCCCAAGATAGATGGTAGGGCTCCAGAGAGATGGAATAAATACTCCAACTGACCCTCAATAAAGATACATAGCAAACAAGAACAAAACCTATAGAAGATTTGGAATAATTGTCAAAATCTTATCAGATTTCAACTAGAGAACCCTGTTCTTGCTTAAAATCATTTCACCTCAAACAACCCTCAGCAAAATTCCTCCCAACAATCACTCACACTATGCTAACACAAGATTTTGACAAAACCCACATTCTTTCCAGCTCGTGCTTTCCGTGACGCATAAGTTTCACAAAGCTCTGGTGCCTTATCGGCAAACCGCAACACATACTTCTTCACAAAATCTTCCTCCTTCAAGACAAGCACACTTCTCAAGTTCCAATCTTGCTTGACCAAACCCTTTGAAGCCAAGTCACGAACAAACGTGCACCTTGGGACTATCCTCGTCTCCATACTTAAAAAGATAAGAGTTGGGAACTTAGCCATGGACCTAGCTTCCCGGCCCAACTCACAAACCACAAATTCCAAAACAGCCGTGATCTTCTTCTCCGAACAAAGCATGCAATTGGGATGCCTCAAGAATGCAGCCATTATGTCCTCCCTCGTCCATCCCCATTTTTGATAAACTTGAAAGCACCGGTCCCAAAGGGCCAAACAGGACTTCCCCGAACGAGCATGCATAGCCATGAAAAACACCAATCTTGACTGGTTGAAACCCATTCCCTTCACTTCCTGCACGAGTTTCTTGAATTCAGAGTGTTCCAAAGAAAAAATCCCAGGGCACAGAAAGATGGACTTCTCGAGTAGCGGGGCGGGCACCCCAATCTCCCGCAGGTGGTCCATGTTAGAGACGAATTGGTCCTGGTTGTTGACCCAGGTTAAAAAATGCAATCCGCGGCCAAAGAGAGAGGCGGCCTTTTCAGTGCCGAGCAGCTTTTTGAGCGTATCCATGTTAGGAGCGAGCTTGTGCTCCAAACTGTTGGTCAAGAGAAAAGGGTTTTTCGAGATAGTGTCGAGAACCTTCTTCTTGGGGACACCGGCCAATGACTTCCGGAAAAATTGGATCTTGGGAAGGATTGACTTTTCCGGTTTCGACAGAAGCAACTTGGGGTGTGCCCTCACGATACTGGAGATTTGGGGTTTCGTGAAACCCTCATTTTTTAGAAGATCCAGAAAGGCGTTAGGCTTGACGGGTGTGTCGAAATGGACGCTCTTCGAAGCAGCAATTGAATCTTCCGGCGACAACCCACATGAGTCGACCAGGAAGGAGACGACGAGGCTTTTTTCCGGCGGATATCCGGCGGGTCTTGTATTTCCAAGGCTGCTGAAGTTCGCGAGGTGTTGATTTGGGCGTGGACGTGATAGAATTGAACGGAATAGCGCCGGAAGATTGAGCGGCATGGTTGATTTAGTCGGCGAGCAGAGATTTTAGAAGCTCTATTAAACTGATTTTTGAAACCCTAGAATTCGCCGGTCAGTTTGTGCGAGAAAGAAACTTGAGCTGATATTTAAATTAGAAAATTGGGAAAATTTTATTCCAGGGTTTTATTTTTTGTTATTATGTTACAATAAGTCCGATTTTCAATATTTTTATTTGATGTTTCAATTTTAAGTTATTGTCATTTAAAACCTTTTTATTTGAGGGTTTTAATTTTAAGTTATCTATACTTATATAATAAGGTGTACCATTTACGAAATTTAGTAAGTTGAAAAGTCAATGCAATAAATACATTACTATTTTGAGGAGCATAATATAATATCATATCTATACATATATAAAAGGAGATTCTATTTAGTACATTTACTATCCAGAAAAGTCAACTGCATTAAATACCATTGCTATTTTGGTATTATAATATTTTATTTATTTAATTAATATATTTATTTGTTTTATTTTAAAAAGGTAAGTATAATAAAAAGATTTTAATAATAAAAAAATCAAATACCAAATAAAAATGTACACTTTGACTTATTTGATTATATTTGCTATTTGATTATACCAAATATATTCCTATTTAGTATATACATTAAATACTTACTAAAGTATTTATTTGTTTTATTTGTCAAAGTTAAGTATAGATTTGTTTATATTATCAAATCATAAAAAAATATTAAATCTATATTGTAAAAAAAAAAAATCATATAATTTTATAACAATTCTACTACACTATTTAACAATATTTTTTTTTTATTATATAATAAAATAATAATTAAATATTATATGGTGAACAACAATAAGTAAAACTGTTACTTTCTCTTATATCAAGGGATAAATTTATATGCTAAAATTAAATTTTTATTAGTATAAATGTTTTAGTGAGATAATATATTAATTATTTTACAAGCTAGCCCTAACATGCTCATATTTAATGTTTTAAAAGATGTAGAAAAAAAACTTATAATAACTCTATTGTTTTTTAGACTTAAACGTTGATTAAAAGAGGTAAAAATTCCTAATTTTTTAGACTTAAACGTTGATTAACACCATAGATTGAGAGTCTATATTTAGTAAAATTCCTAATTGTAATAAAAAAAATTAATTTTTGCTATAATTTAGAATATCCTTAAATTCATTATAAAAAGAAAAAGAAAAAAAAACTACAATGAAAAAAGCAAGTAAGCTATATATCGATTTGTTGTACTCCTCAAATCACATTCACAATTTGGCTACAAGGAAAGGAAACTCATTGATTAGAATATTATTTTTTCAGTAGTCTTAATGTACAAGAGACTTTAAGACTCCACTTGAATATTATAAAACTTTTATTGAACATTGTACAATTTTCTTGCGTATTATAAACTTTTATTGAATATTGCATCTTATAATATAATATTCTCCAAATAAATATATCCCGTGCTCATGGGTCACGTACTATATATATCCCGTACATTTTTCTTTATTCATGTATATAATTATAAGCCTGGATAAATAGCCTTAAAATTGTGCACCCCGTGCATCGCACGGGCTCTGTACTAGTTGTCATTTAAAGGCTTACTTTTACATTATAGTTCTCAATTGAAGACACCAACTAATTTTATATTTTTACATAAATATATAAACCAAATACTACTATTTTGAAATTTACATTTGAATTATAAATATCTTTAGTAAAATTACTTTAGTAAGAAGATTAATTCATTTAAGCTAAGTTAATTTTGCATAAATGTAATTTATTTGAATTAATTTTCTTACGAAGCTAGTTTTATAAATATATTTAATATTTTTTATTATAAGTATTAATTTTAAATATCCTTAACTTTTACAAAAATATAAATTTTATTAAAAAATAATGTCTTTTATAATTTTATTTAAAAAAATTATTTTTCTAAATAGTTTATTTTTTAATGTTATCACATATTTAAGTTAAAATTAAGTTAAAAGTTATTTTTTAACTTTTAAAATAAATTTCATTAAGCCTTTGTGTAACTGTAAAATATGAAATAATTATTTTATTAGGTAATTTTACTAAGATATCTAATATTTTCCATTATAAGTACTTAAAAAATAAATTTAAAATATAAGTATTGTAGTTTACATAATTATGTCAATGTACAAAGTGATCGGAGTCTTAAATTAAAAAAGTAGAATGTAAAAGTAGGCCTTATAGTGAGAATAACTTAAAAGTGAAACCCTCAATTGAAAAATTTAAAAATTTAGACTCTATTATGACACAATACCTAAAAATTAAGCCCTACAATGGAATTTCCTCTTAGAAAATTTGGAGGACTTCAATTTGAATTTTAATTTATTAGAGCTTCTCCAATGCTCAACTTTCAACACTAATTAAATTTGAACACATGTCAAACAATGGTTTAATGTATAATCTACATGAACTGAATGTTAAAATAATATGACTTTCATTTAAATTATTACATTCAATGCATCCATTCAACAACCCTACAATTTGCATATGTAGATTTATTCATTTATTAATAAAGTAAAAGAGTATATTAGAGAAAAAAACCACAAATTCCAATAGTTATATGCATGATTTTTTTTTTTTGTTGATTCATTTAATTTTTATTTATATCACCAAATTTATGCAATTATTATTTATTCAATAATTTCTCAATTACAATATGTATAATCACACAATAAATATTTTTTTAATCAGTTCAGAAGAAAACAACAAAACATTAAAATTGCAAGAACTCAATAAACAAATATCATGAACACAATAGTTTACTTTTCAGGACATTATTATTGATAAGTTTTTAACATTTTAGATGCAACTTGCAACTCATCAAATGATTCTAGTGTATCCAAATAAATTTCCAAGTTTTTCTTGGATTAGTGAAAAGGTGGGCGGCATGATATTTCCAAGTTTATTAAAAGCTCAAAATTTTACCGCAATTTGTGTCAAATAATTACCCAAATGTTGAGTCATCATGTTAGAAAGAATGTGTGAAATTAAAAAGTGAGCTTGACAATGTTAACATTAATTTTTTACACATAAGCATGATAGTGCTCATAATTTAATGCATTGAAAGATAAATTATTCACACACTTTCTATCTAGATGAGCTGGATAACATTTCTCTTTCAAAAGCATGCATTAGTTTGACAAAAAAAAAATGCATGCATTAGAGATGATCTTAGCATTTAAGTGTATTTTTGTTATATCCTTTGTGTCAGAATTTGTTTGAAACTAAATCTTGTATACATGCAAATGAAGTGTTATATTTTATATTTATAGACATTATGCAACACCCCGCTAACTAGGGCCAATTTTTCGCAAATTTAAACTCTTTCGAAAACGCTTATAAATTTTTCGAAATCATTTGCAAACTATCTCGGGATGCTGCTAAGGACTTTTCTGCTTAAAAACCCGTTTCTTTAACCTAGGTCTAACAGCTGGTTTAGACTTAAAGAATTCAAGTTTATATTTTTACGAATCATGCATATTAGTCTGGACCCGTTCGTACTGGCGAACCGGGTAAAATTATTTAAGTCTGAAAATAGCATCATGCATGTTCGAAAATAAACACAAGCATAGCGGAAGTCTGAAATGCGTGGAATTATTTAGTTTACAAACAGTTTAAACAAATGTCCCGGGAACAGCTTTCTTGCGGAACTCACGACCACCACCACCACAGCTTGACTCACGCCTGCCCGCCGACCCTGCCATCTGAAAATATAAAGTGGGGGTGAGTACGGTCCACTTGTACTCCATAAAAACCCATTCTAAAGTAAACAGCAATATTAATAATGATATCACAAACTGGTATATATAAGTAAACTGTAACTCCCGGAACTCTCTGGCCGGTAACTCCCGGAACACTCTGGCCGGTAACCGTGTGCACACTCTGATGGTATAACTAGGGCAAACTGGGCCACCACCAGAACTTAGGGAAGGCAAACTTGGCCTTAACCCAAAGTGGATAAAACTCATATACATACCTGAACGTGATATCGACTATTAAACTCAATGTATAACCCAGACTGGGTCCCCACCTGATCGGTTTTGAAAATGAGTAAGTGCGGCTGTGCTGGTAGCTGACTCCTCAAGCTACATAAAAATATAAGCAAACAAATATACTAAGTACTATGCTCGTCATATGCTCAAAAATATGCTAGGATGCTCTACTCTATCAGATTACTCATCCGGATATAAAGGAACGCTCTAAGGGTTCACAGAAATAATTCTAAGTCCGGAAATAATACTGATATGCTTAACTGATCTGGTTTGGCTCGGAAAAATACTTAAATTTCGGAATAAGACTCGGACCGAAAATCACGAACCAAAACGGACTCGAACCGCCGGCTAAACCGGCCGGTTCGCTAACTGGCTGAACCGGGTCGGGCTGGACCGGACCCGGTTGGACCACCGGGTCACACTGGACCGGTTGGTCACGGGCTGCTCGGACTGGCCGGGCTCGATCCCGTGCCGGGCCTGCTGGGGCCATGGCACGGCGCTGGGCACTAGCTGGGTGCGACCGGGCACGGTACTAGGCGCTGCTGGGCGCGGGCTGTGCGGCTGGCACGGGCCCTGGCACGACTGGTGCCACTAGGTGCGGCTGGGCACGACCGAGAGTCACTGGGTGTGCTGGCGTGCTGCTGGGCACGGTCGAGCACGAGGGACGCGGGAACTGGCGCGTACCCGGGTTGACTGGGCACTGGGCGTGCGGCTGGCACGACCCGAGTGCGACTGGCGCGAGAACGGACGTGGCCAGACACTACTCGCGCGGCTCGGGCGCGGCTAGGGCTGTCAGGGTGCTACCGGGCGACCCTGGGCACGCGGGCATGCTGCTGGGCACGTCCCGGGCTAACTGACTACTCGGGCGTGCTGCTGGGCACGTCCCGAGGCCTCTGGACCTGACTCG